CTCACCCTCCCGCGCTTCTGACTGTACCCAGTGCATGTATAAACAAAACAAACAAACAAATAAATAAATAAAAAAAAAATGCCTCTATAAAAAAAAAAAAATAAATAAAATGCCAATCAGTTCATTTGGCTAATTGGCATATTGCTCTGTTTCCACTTTGCTTCCCAGTGTCCATCCAGCCACAGTATTCCTGCTCTGGCAGCCTCTTCCAGGCACTTCCAGGAGCAAGTGACTGCCCTTTGACCAGCTTGCAAAAGATAGTTGTTAGACTGCGTCTCTATTCATGGACCCAGCTTTACTATGGAGGTTGTAGAGCTGCCTTCTGCCAGAGCTTGGCTTATAAATGAACAGAAAGTACAGGATGACCTTGCCAAGAATTCAGAGCCCTGGTGCTTTCAGTCCTTTGGGTGTTGACTAGAGTCTTTCTCAGCACTTACTGAACCCTCTGTCTGACTCCATGTCAGTGCCTACAGGAAATTTGTCATTGACTATGTAGGATTTTGCATAGCATGGTTTCTGAGGCTCTAGAAAATCCCACCTATACATACTCCACCCTATTTTGTTTGCCTGGAATACTTTAATTGCCAAAACTTCCCATTTACCAATTAGAGTTAGAGTTTTAAAAACTTCAGTGTTAACCTTTTGTTGAAGTTGAATACACATATGTAAAAGTGTACAAATCATAGGTGTAAATGAACCACTCATATAACAAATACCAGGATCAAGAAACAGAGCATTATCATTTTCCCAAAGTCGCTTTGTTCCAACTTCCTTTCGATCCTTCTAGGTCCCTCACCTGTGCCCACCAGGGAAACTACTGTGCTGATTTTTAACAGATAGGTTGCTTTTGTTCTTTGTATAAATGGAATGATGACCGATGTATTTTTTTGTATATACAATGTTTCTTTTGTTCAGCACTAGTGTATGAGATTCATCCATGCTATTGCATATAGTTGTAGTTTGTTTATTTTCATGGCTGTATAGTAGTTCACTGTGTCAAGCCACAATTTCCTTATCTACTCTAATATTGATGGAGTTTCTTCCAGTTTTTGGCTCATGCAGAATTTTGTTATGAACTTTCTATCAGGTTTTTTGTTGAACATATGCATACCTTTCTATTGAAAACACACTGAGTAGCGGGATATATGAGACAACAGATATCTTTATACCTATAATTATATCTATAATATCTATCCATCCATCCATCTATCCATCCAGCACTGGTAAATATTATCATATACTTTCAAGATTATTTCACTGAGTTGTATTTCCACCAGCAACATATAAGAGTTATAGTGATGCCACATCTACATCAGCAATAGATCTCTCTTCCACTTATCCATTCTGGTGGGTGTGTAGTTGTCTGCATTGTTTCCTTAATTTGCATTTCTATAACACTTCTTAAAGAAGCCATTTCTTTCTACCCTTCTAAGTTCTGGGCTGGAGCTCTGTAACAAAACAAAAGCTCAGCAAGAGAAAAGCATATCATTTAATGTAAGTTCTGCTTGGCAAATATATTTACCAAAACTTTTTCTTTATAGGAAACTAAGACTCAAAAGAAATAGCCAAACCTGAGCATTTTTATGCTATTTTTTTTCTTTTAAGATTTATTTATTTATTTATTTATACAAAAACTGGGGTACAGGCTAGTTTTGAGGGAGGATGAGAGGATTCACCAGAGACAGAGTGGGGAAAAGAACAGGCAGACTGATGAAATACACTGCTGAGGGGAGCAGCAGCCGCGACAGGAGAGGTCTGCTGCACCATGTGGAACCCTCGCCAGCCTGGGGGATCGAACCAGTGGTGTCTGCTGACAGCTTCACAGTGCTGCACTCAACCACCTGAGCCATCAGGGGAGGTCCCTATGCTAGTTTTGATGAAGAGTGGAAAGTCATGGGAAAATGTGATGGGATGTAGGCAAGGCTTGTTAGTTCAATTCTTCTCCTACAGATTCTTCTCATCTTCAGAGATAAATATGCTTCTTTTCTCCAGATGTAGAGAAAGTACCTCTTATATAAGAGTCTTAAGATCTGCTTCAAGGGAGGTGGGAGAGGCCAGAGAGGCTTTCCTGCTCCTGCATTTCTCAAATTCCTTTTACTTGATGTAGTCAATATGCGAAGGTGCCATATTTTGGGGGACTGTGTCTTGAACTCTGTCAGTATCTTGTGCTATAGAAGGTAACATGTACATACTACAGTAATCTTACCTAGTCTATGGGAAAGATTGGCTATGAAAGCCTTCTCCTTCACCTAAACTGAGTTTGAAGGATAAGTAAGAGTTGGTCAGGCAAAAAAAATTGAGAAGGACCATTCAAGGTGAAGGGGAGAGTAAATTTGAGGAGGCATTCATGTGGAGGAAACAAAAAAAGGATGGCTGAGATCTCCTCAATGTTGTGGGGATTAAATGAGACAGCAGATGGTTCTGGTTATCTATTGCTATGTAATAAACCACCCTTAAACTTAGTAACTTGAGGCATTTTTTTTTCTTCCTGATCTGTAATGGGATAGGGTGTGGTGGTTAGGACTCACTCGACACAACTCATCTCTGCTGTATTCTGTGTCAGCTGGGGATGAAAAGAGCCAGAGGGCCAGATAAAGTTTCTATCATTGTTTTTTGCAAGCTAATCTTGGAAGTCACTTAGTATTACTGTTTTTATAATCACTGGCATGCCTAGAATCAAGTCTGGGATTGTAAGTATAGGGTTACCATGTAGGAGGTAAGTGTCATCTCATAAGAACACATTTAATATGTTAAAAGCAAGATGACATGCCTTAAGTGGAGTTACTTTTGTTAGGCCCCAAAACCTAAGACTCAGTTTTTATTCTCCCAGAAATGGAAACTTAACCCAGTCAATCAGGAGTCACCTGAACAGCAATAATTCAGTAATCAGCCTCATAGACCCCAGCATCCCTTAAAGGAAACCAACATTTTTTTTGGGGGGTGGGGGGTTGGGGGGCTGTATAACTTCCTTGTTCCTGCTGTCTTCTAGCTATAAAACTCTTCATTTTGAAGTGTTCTTCAGAACTGCTTTCTATCTTCTAGATTAGATAATGTTCAAATAAACATAAAAATTTAATATACCTTATTACCTTTTAGTAAATGAGATATATTGATGTGATCATTTTTGGAAAATGTAATCTGCAAAAAACTATAAAATATTAGCAGAATGCAAGCTTAACGCTTGAATTAGAAATATTACTTCAACATCACTCAACTTCTCTTACCGCCATCACGTACCTGTCATAGTATTTTGTTGCTATATTTGAGTTACACAGAATTTGAGGACATTCAATTTTTCATACTCATTATTCAACAACACACATTACAGATTGGGAGCCACAGGTTCATGCCATTTGCTAGGCTCTTAACACATGACAGAATATACTGCTACCATTCCACATACTCTTTCTAGTCAACCTTTGAGAATAAGGAATAGCTTTTACACATATTCATACCTTTGAGGACTAGGGCAGTGCCCTGCCCAGAGCAGGCCTTTAATAAATACTTGAATTTAAGATAAAAGTTTTAGTGAGCTGTAATTACTAACATGAGATTTTGTGGTCACGTAGTTTTTCTAGACTGTATTAATTCTTTTTGTTCAGATCATGTGACCTAACCATAACATATATGTTCTGTTCTTTACCTGTCAAAAATTCCTGCTCAAGGGGTAAATGTAAATCTTTAGCTAAACACTCTGATAGCAACAGATCTTAAATTTGTAACATGTTAGAACCAGGAGTGCTTCCCACAAAATCAATTAGTTTAAAAGAGAAAAAGTGCAGAAGAGGGTGGGAGTGAGGGACTGAGTCTTGGAGAAAAGTCAGTACTGTCCTGTTCTAAACCCCAATCAGTTCTTTAAGTCTTGTGTTTCCATTTCTCTTGTGCAAAGTGAGGCTAATAACAGAGCAACAGAGGTTCTTAAGATTTCGTTCACTGCTATGGGTAAAACAGGATGTGTTTACCATTTACTGTCAAAGATAGAAGTGGGGCCTTGAACTGATCAGCATGTTATCTACTGAATAGTGCAAAAAGATGTAAAATGATGTATGTATTAAGTATAAAGATTTAAAAAAAGTATAAAGATTGTCTCTAAAATGGGTCCACTGTAGAAGCAGAGGCATGAAGATCTCATTCACTGCAATTCAATTTGACAAATACTTAATTAGCGCTTGTGATTTTGGAGACAGTGCTAGATACTGAGGAGGAAGCAAAGATGAACAGCATCAGCCTCAGGGAGACAAGACATGAGCCTGGTAACTAGACTGCAAGCAGAATAGGGCTGTCATAATATAGAAAAGGTAAAATACAGGAAGAACCTGGTGGAGCTTAAAATAACTTTCCTGCCTGATTTTTTCTTTTTTTAAGATCTATTTTGAATCCCTTTTCACATGCCAGGCCACTTCTCTGCAGAGAATCTGCCACTCTGTGAAATCTCCCCTCTGCCCTATTCTTCTTAACTTCAGAAATTCGACGAACATCTCTGCCACCAGATCTGCATTTGGAATGGTATCTATTGTGTGGGTGGTGAAACGATGGAAAGTTATTTTTGTTCTAATTATGAGAACTGTTTCACTGGGAGAAGGAGTGGGAGGAGAGGCAGATCTGAGACCCAGGCTCTCAGCAAGGATGCTCCAAGGAGGCGTTACTAAGGTTACTAGAAAGAGGACGGCAGTGATATTCAGGCAGGGTTTTTTCTAAAACAAAATATATTTTAGTGTGCCATACGATATTAAATGCTGAGCTCCCTAGAGCGGTTGAGGGGGGCGGGGAGAGGGGGGAGGCTCAAGAAAAAACTAGGGACTGCGACTTGGAGGAAGTAGGAAATCTCGCCTTCTCGGCCTTGTTCTTCCGGCGCCTTTGTTTCCAGGGGATGCTCTAGCTGTTGCACCCGGTCGCCGCTCCCGGCGACGGTGCCATTTAGGCGTGACACGCGGCCGGACCGGACCGGAAGTGGCGCCCTTCAGGACCCGTAGGGAGAGGCGGGGAGCGGGAGGCGGTGTTGGTGGGGAGGGTGAGCTGCCAGCCAGCCAGGCCAGCCTTGCAGTGGCTCGCTCAGGCCTTGGATCGTCGCTACAGCCCCCGGGAAAGGAGGAGACGAAGATCCAGGGGGCGAAGTTGGCAGAGTAGGAAGGAAGGGAAGGGGTGTGTGAGAAGGACCTTGACTGTATTTGGGGTCGGGGATAAGGACTTCGAAACTTGTTTATCAGATGTTATTAGTTGATTCTCTTTCTTTTCTTTTTGGATGACAGACTCAGGAGACACCCGGAGTCTCACTGCTCGAGTTTCTCTCGGCCCTTGTCAGTTGATTCGTAGTCTGAAGTGAGTGAGAGCGCTTTAGTTCCACCACCGACTTGAGATGGGTGTAGGATGGAGGAAACCTCCAGTGAGGGGGAGGGCGAGCAAGGTTAGGAAGTGTTGTCCTGGGGTGAGGAACAAGGTTATGATGATGATAATGTAACATTTACAGGGATTTACTGTATCAGACACTGTTCTAAAGCCCTTTATATATAGTAACTCATTTAACATCTAGTCCAGTGAGGCCAGTAGTCTCCTTAGCCTCATGTTATTGCTGGGGAAACTGAGGCTTAGAGAGGCTAAAGAACATGCCTGAAGTAAGACAAATGAAAAGTGCAAAGCCAGGATTTGAATTCTGGTTGGCTGTTTGCAGAGCATATCTCTAAATTCTGCACAATGATGTCCCCCATCAAGATGTGAAGAGAGCAAGAACATAGGACAAGAAGTGAGAGTCTGGTATGGCTTGAACCAATGTTTTAATACAGCTGAAGCCAGGTGTTGAACTGATAAAGGGTGTGAGATCCAGGTGTGTTTCTAAGGTGATGACATGAAAGCCAACCTCCAACTCCAACCTTGGCTAGGGCCTTTCCTTTTATAGAAATCTGTGGGACAGGTAAGAGGCACACACCTAAGTTTGAAAATGGAGTCACAGAAACATTACAGACTCATACATAAGATTTAAGGATTATTTTATGTAGCCAACTTGTTTATCAGATGAATCCCAAAGAGATGAAATAACTTATTCAAGAAAGTCAGGACTAGAGACATGTCTTATGTCTTAGTCTCAGTGAAATAAAGTTTAGGGAGTTCGCTATTTCTTGTTGCACTTGCTATAGTGAATATTAAAGTTTAAGCTGTATTATTGATTGGTTGACCTGAACTGCTTCCTTTTAGCCATATGAATTGGGTATTTATGGCATCAAGTAGTCAAATAATTCGTTCATCCCCTTCAATATATGCCCTAATGTAATGCTGAAATCAGGAACTTGTTCCAACACAGCTGTGATAATTGAAATCTTTCAGCATTTTTAAAAATTTCAATTAAAAAACAGAACATCATAAAAAATAGAACAAGTTTAAGTTAACTAGGCCAAAGAACAAGGTAGTTTATGTTGAAGAAACTAGTTTTTTTTTTTAAAGGAAATTTCCACATATGTTGAAAAAAATAACAGGAAAAATTTGATCAATTGTTAGTGTACTCATCAAATACAGTAGGTCTAATGGAATATAATGAATTAAAATAGAAACAATTGGAATAGTTAAATTATGGGCCAAAGAATCACATTTGTCTGTATAATTAATTTATTTCATCTATCCTTGATTTCTTCATCTCCGTACTGGAGATAATAGTTCCTAACTTGTAGAATTAGAAAAAGTGTCTGGCACAATGTCTGAAACAAACTTGACAAACACACAAGAACTGTTATTACTGTCAGTCAAATAGAAATGAAGCATTGCTGAGCCTTGTATGTAATCACATGGAGGTGGTTTCTAGACCTGGTTTTTAATGAAAATGTCAAAGAGTAGCTTCCACTGTTGGTCTGATGATAGTTAATCAGGTGAAAATGTTGCTTCATTTCTGAAGGGTTAGGCTTGTTATTTGAAAGTGATTGAATGTTGTTTTGATGTTTTAGATAGCTGGATAGCTCATGAATAGTGACCTGCCACCACAATCCTTTAAAATTGTTGTGACTTTTTAAGATAACTTACTTTTGAAGTATTTTTTACTGAACTATTGGCAGCTTGGCTTCTAAGAAGCTAGTTTATGTTCCTTTACAGATGCACGGCCATGGAGGTTATGACTCTGATTTTAGTGATGATGAACACTGTGGAGAATCTAGCAAAAGGAAAAAAAAGTAAGTGATTATTTTATTGATTTGTGTTTCAAACCTTTTCTATGTTGAGGTGAGTGTAAGTAAATAATATGGAAATTTTTTTGAGATGTGTTTCATTCCCCAACTATGGAGAATGAATTTTTGTTCATTAAACCTGTAATGACAGTTGTGTAAAAAATAAGAAAATGTTTGTGCTATGAAGAGTATTGTGGAAAAGGAAGCAGAACAGAAGAAAAGAAAAACAAAGCTTTTAGATTTCCCTGTTGCATCTATTTTTCATTCAGCTCTTAAGGACTTGTTACTTTCTGGTATCACAATTAAGAAGGGGCTTGCTGATGGTCTTTTCTGCTAGTATTTGACTTCAGGATAAGTTTGGTGTAGGGAACGAGATTAAAATGCAGCCCATCCCCGGCTGCCCGCAACCTCTGCAGCGCCGGTTTGTTCCCCGGCCGCCGGCGAGGGTCCGACCAAAAAATAAATAAATAAATAAATAAAATGCAGCCCAATAATATAGTTTTGTAAATTAGCAGACTGTAAGTGGTCAAGGGAAAGAACTCATGGTTATTGCATTGGGAGGGACAAAAACTGTCTGCAAATACAGCCTGGCCTGACAAGGAAGGCTACATCTTAGTGGAGTTGCTATGACATCATTCTCTGCTTCCAGTGCTTAGAAATTTGATTTATTCATTAATTTAGATGTGGTCGACTGATTTGTATGAAACAAACTTACAAATATTGGTTTATTATATCACACTGATAGCAATATATTAAGCATGCTAATTGGAACTGATCATTTTTCTAGGGTACTCAGTCTTTGTGGATAGCCAAAACAATCGAATTAATTTTAATAAATTACATTTTATGGTGCTCTACATTTTCTAGAGTTTTCATTCAAAAATAATACTTTTTGATAATAGAATCTGAGCAAATCTAGTTGGATAGTCTTCTCTGCTCTAGGATTATATCTAACTAAATACCTAGGCCTGATGATTTATAGTGTATACCATCTGTAATCAGTCCTTTTTTCCATTGTATCAATTAGGAAACTTCATTACCTTTACAAATGATTTATAAGGAAATTGTGGCACAAAGAATGAATTCATCTTGTTTAAGATTAAGATAGTAAACGGCAGAGCCATTATTTGAACTGAGGAACTTAGGTGGTTTGACAGCAGAATTCATGCTTTGGATAGTTTCATCTCTCCATTTTATAGGTATTAAATAAAGTTAATAAGCTATTTAAGGAGATGTAAAATGTCTCAATACCAAGCCACAATTCTTTTAAGATTTGAATTCTTCAAAATGTTCTAATAATGAAAAGAAAAGGAAAGAGGAACACCCTTTGAGAAAAATGAACTCTTAATAAGTAAATTTTCTTTTGAATAAACCAGGGCAGTTGAAGATGATTTACTGCTCAAAAAGCCTTTTCAGAAAGAAAAACATGGAAAAGTGGCCCATAAACAAGTTGCAGCGGAATTGCTGGATAGGTAAGTTATGTTAGTGTAAATTAACTTTATTGTAGTTTAAGATGTAAACTCAGGGACTTGGGGGATTTGATTGTATGAAGTAGAATGTAGATGTTTGCATTTGTTTAAAATAAAATTTGTCTTAACAGGGAAGAAGCAAAAAATAGAAGATTTCATCTCATAGCTATGGATGCTGTATCCTTTTTGTATTCTAGTTCTTTATGATTAGTAGACTGGTTTAAAATCTTTTTATTTCATAAAATCTTGTCAAGTTAAATAGACCTTTTACATTTTATTTTTAAAGATAAGTATTTACTGACAAGAAATTTTGCCATTTATAGTTTTGAGTACCATTCTCTTTTACTAACATATAGGAAAGGCTTATAGACAAAAATAAGATGTATTACCAATGTTCTGTAAATATATGAAGAAAGTCCATGAACTTGGAAATAGTTGTTCCTACCTGTTTTTTTGCCAAGCTCTCAACATTTTTCATTTTAATGTGACTCTTATTTTTAGTTCTTTGAACTCTTATCCTCATTCCCACCTGATTTTATTGACTAGTTAATATTTTTGTAAACTAATATTTATTTTTAAAAGTTATTGAAGAAAATATTGTATGAATTTTTGAAGTCTAATTGGCATATGACAAACTGCACACTTTTAAAGTGTTTACTTGACAAGCTTTCACATAATTATACCTGTGTGGAACTATTAACACATCAAAATAACAAGCAAATCCGTTACCCTCAAGTTTCTTTAAACCTTTCTATAATCATTTCCTTCTGTAGTTCCTGTCTCCCACTCTCCTAGACTATCATCATATACTTTCTCTTTGTGGACAGTCCTCAGACCTATACTAGGAGAACACATTGTGATCAGTTAAGTCACTAGTTACCTTTAATAAAATAAGGTGTAGTCATAGACAATAATATAGATAAGGGCCTCCCTGGTGGCGCAGTGGTTGAGCACTGGGTTGCGAAGCTGCCTGCAGCCTCTGCAGCGCTGTTTCGATCCCGCCACCGGAGGAGGGTCCCACATGGCATGGTGCGCAGACCTCTCCTGCCGCCCGCTGCTCCCCGCAGCAGTGTACTTTGGTCCTTCTGCCTGCTCTGCTCCCCGCTCTGGCTCTGGTGAATTCTCTCACCCTCCTGCGCTTCTGACTGTGCCCAGTGCTTGTATGTATGTATGTATAAATCAATCAATCAATCAATCAATCGATCAATCTTTAAAAAAAAATAATATAGATGAGATTAGTTCTGTTACATGCATGTTCAGCTCTTAGAGATCTGAGCTTTTTTAAACAAAAACTGAATTGCTCATATCTTGTTATACTGCATTGAAAATAACATGTCTGTGGAATCTTTGACTATTAATAGCAAGTGTAAAAAGTGACATCTGATTTCTTATGTTTACTTTTATTTGAAAGCCTAATGCAAGGATTTAATATTATGAAAGTTACACCTTTTTTTCTAGAAACTTTATTATTACTGGAATGGCTGTTTTCTATTTTACATTAATGAAAGGTCAATTCTGCTCCTTACCTTTAATTTTAGAAACTACAATTTATACTTCACATTATGATGATTAAAATGAGTGGTGGTATGAGGTGGTATGCAGTTCAGCAGTAGAATAGGTAGCTTCTTTCTCCCAGATGGAGTTGTGTTTTATTACAAGAGTAATGGATGCTTGAAAAATGTTTAAAACAATATATCGTAGAAAGTGAAAGCCTCTCTTCATGATCATGTTAACTCTTAACAGTTTAATATTCATCCTCTTAGGTCTTTTTTGAATTTATAAGTATGTATTTGCATATTTTAAAAGTATAAATAGATTCTTAGTATGCTTTTTCCTTACTCCATAATATATTATGGGTATAGAACATCTTCTGAGTACGTAAAGTCCTTAATTTTTTGCATTTCAGTATCAAAGGCATACAAAATTTGTAAATGACTATATTTTATACTATGGTGGCAAAAAAGAAGATTTCAGGAGATTAGGGTAAGTATCGTGATGTTCACACAGAAGTTCCAATTTCCTTGTTATGTCATAGGTGCAGAGGCCATCCACACCTCTTAGCTAAGTAGCTTGTTTTGAATCCCACTTCTTTGGCTATAGACCCCAAGTGTACCCTTCTTACCTGCTGAGCCATATCTGCTCCTGGCAGTATCAGGGTAGATGAGGAATACTTACATGTCTGATTGTACAGTAATTATTTCTTGACAGGGATCTTTGAAATAATGAACTTTTTAAACCTCAATGTTTAAGATTGTTTTTTAAAAAGGAAAGCAAACAAGAAGACTTTACTATTTCTCACCCAAAAATTTCTTCCAGTTTTGGGCCTCCCCGGTGGCTCAGTGGTTGAGCGCTGGACTGCGAGGCTGCCCACAGCCTCTGCAGCGCCAGTTCAATCCCCTGCCGCCAGTGAGGGTCCCACATGGCGTGCAGACCTCTCCTGCCTCCTGCTGCTCCCCTCTGCAGTGTATTTCGTCAGTCTGCCTGTTCTGTTCCCCGCTCTGGCTCTGGTGGATTCTCTCACCCTCCCTCACGTTTCTGACTGTACCCAGTGCTTGTATAAATCAATGAAATAAATTCTTTAAAAAAATTTTTTTTTCTTCCAGTTTTGAGGCTCTTCTATTAGAGCCTCTAGGTTTTGTGTAGATTGCTTTTTTCTTTGATTTTAAAATTTTCTGAGTTGGTAGAAACCTAAAATACTACTATCAACTCATCTCCCCAGACTTATATACCCACTCAATTTATTTTGGATTCCCCAAAAATCTTTTATTCTATTCCCAAACTATTAGCATCTTGAAAAATCATCCCCTTAAATTTTTCGTCTTTTATTCAGTATCCTTGAGTAAGGAAGCTGAATTAAAGTAAGATACGGAAAACTTCTTTCCTCATGTATTTTTAAAATTGGATCTCCATGGGATATGTGACTGACTTGATCTAATTGTGAAACTTACTTTCATTTACTTTTCCTAATCCATTTAGTGTTTTTTCAGGTTTCTCATCCTAGCTTCAGTAATTTAGCACTATTTGTAAATTGAAACCAATACCAGAGGTGAATGGATTCTTTATTCATTTAACTTGTTTCTGTAGCAGCACTCTTTATAAATGCCTTTTTTTTTAAAGAAATGCTTTTTTTTTTAAAGATTTATTTATTTATGCATACTAGAGCTGGGGTACAGGCCAGAGCTGTAGGGGTAAGAGGATTCACCAGAGACAGAGTGGAGAGCAGAACAGGTGGATCTACTGAAATACACTGCTGAGGGGAGCAGTAAGCAAGACAGGAGAGGTCTGCTGTGCCATGTGGGTTGCTCCCTGGCCAGGCCGGGCATTGAACACGTGCTGCAGAGGCTGCAGATTGTTTCATAGTGCATTGTTTAACCCCTTGTACCACCAGGGAGTCCCCTTTATAAATGCTTTTTGAAGATAAGTAGAATTTTCATAAATCTATATATTGTATACTCACATAAAATTTTCTGTAATCTTCAGTATTATATTTTTACTCAGTTGGTCAAAATCTAAACTGTTTTAACTGCCAATATTTGATTAATTTTGCTTTATATTAAGTTCAAATAATTTTATTTCCCAGGGAAAATGATAAAACTGATATGGATGTTATACGAGAAAATCATAGATTCCTATGGAATGAGGAGGATGAAATGGACATGAATTGGTAATGTTTGCCATAAGAGGCATAATGCATCAAATGCTTTAGTCTTTGTTCTCCTACTGAGTGTTTTACTTTGTCACCTATCCAGAAGCTGAGCCCCCACATGAAACAGTTTTGAATTGAGCACATACAATCATGCCTTACTATTGAATCTAGTTTGGTTCTTTTGATAATTTTTGGTTTTAACTGACTTCTCATTGCTTGACTTTGTCTTAAAAAATAATTTACAACAGTTTTATAATATTATGCGTTGTCCCATAATATGTTATTGCATGCTATTTTTTAAATTAAAAAAAAATAGTAATACCTAAAAATGGTTTAAAAGATCCAAACTTTACAAAAGTAAAAAATAAAGGGTAAGTCACCTTCTCATCACTGTCAGACCTAGCTTCTCTCCCTGAAAGAACCACTTAGCAGTAAATATTAAGATATTCTATGCACAGCTAAGAAGCTTCTTTTAAAACATTAATATTTGTATGTATTATTTGACTCTGCTTCCATATAACAAACCATGGTTGAATTTTTAAATGTCTAAGATACATATTTTTTAATGCTTCTAGGGAGAAGAGACTTGCGAAGAAATACTATGATAAATTATTCAAGGAATACTGCATAGCAGATCTCAGTAGATACAAAGAAAATAAGGTATGCCTTCCAGATATTTTAGAAGATTCTTATTCAAGTACAGTATTAATCAAATACAATATTAATTTTTATTATGCTGTTATGCTACACATTATTCTTTTAAAAGATGCTAATTCTAGCAGTCTCTCTGTGCTTGAGGGTAGAATGAAAAGAAGGAGGCTGAGCACCAAACCCTGAGTAACTGCAGTGTTTAACCTATCATCAAGAAAATTCATGTCATGAGAGGCTATAAAAACATTGAGGCAAAACCTTTTTGCAATCTTTAATTAGTAGGTCACATTATAGTGGTTATATTTCTCATTGCCCCATCAGATTATGAACTTCATAGTGGCAGGCACTATTTCAATACTCACTTTTTTTCCTTAGCAGAATGCTGAGTTCAGTAAGTAGTTGTTTAATAATTATCTGTTGGATAAATTAATGAATTAAAAAAAGTTTAGAAAATATTACTATACACATTTGATTCAGTGGACATCCTAACATTTATTGGATAGCTAGTGAGCCTAACATATATATGTGCTTAAAAAAGAACTGAATAGAGTTATTTTTAATTTTTAATTTTTTTTTCCCCCTAGACTTGGGGTATTTTATTTTCATTTGTTTTAATCAGAATATTTTGAAATATTTGGGGCCCTCTTTTGCATTTAAAATATAAACTTGCTTAACTCACCTAATACATGAAGGTAAGCTTGTTAACTCTTTCCATTTTTATACATCAAAAGTAAATAGAGAGGTTAAATAACTTTGCCAAAGTCACTGGACTAGTTAATGAATGGTAGCACTTGTGTTGGGTCTGCATGATTCTGGAACTGAGCTTTTAACCACTATAGTAAACTGAATAGAACTAACCATTACTAAAATTTTAAGTTAGCATACTAATATGAAGTATCATAAGGCATTGGAAAAAAATAATTTTTAGCCAAAAAATAGTTATTTAGAATCTGAAGGGAAGTTTCACTATAGAACTACAGCCTGGTGCAATTGCTCTTTCTTGTTCTTTTTCTGGGCCAAATTTTGCCAATGACAGAAGCCTGAATAATGTTGGATTTCAGGTCAGAGATTTCTCAGTTTAGGTTGATGACATCAGAGGTATGGTCTTTTGCTCCTGAATGCTGTGTTTTCTATTATATGGGAGATAGCTGATTATATCCTTTGGTGAGCAAGAGTGGATTGTAGTAATATCAATTAGTAAGTAACACTTTTTGAGCATTTACTATACAGGACTTGACAAACTTCTTTTCTAATGAGCCAGATAGTAACTATTTTAGGCTTTGCAGGCCATATGGTTTCTATGACAACTAACTGAAGTCTGCTGTTGTAGTGAGAGTAGTACCATACATAGAATGGATAGGTATGGTTGTATTCTGATCAAACTTTATTTATAAAAATAGGTAGCAGGCCTATCACCCATAGTTTGCTGACGTCTGGTGTACTATGTGTTGGGTACTATTCTAAGAGCTTTATATGTCTGTATTATCCCATTTAAATCTCTTAACACCCAAAAATATATAGTTGTATTTATCTACTTTACATGTAAGGAAACTGAGGCACAAAGAGATTCAATAACTTAGCAAAATACTACTCTTAAGTGATAGGGCTTAAATTTAAACTCAAACACTGTGACTTGAAAAGCTGCACTCTTTTGCCTCATATGTACTGCCTTTCTGTTATACCAGACCCTCTTTTTTTCTTTCTGTTAATGTGATAGAACAGGATATATTTTTTTATTGTGTATCTTGTGACCTGACACCTATAACTTTTAAGGTGGTCTAAAAGTTGAAAAAATAAAAATGTTCCTTTTCAGAGACAGATAGTAATTTGATTGTATTTTTAAATTCCTAGTGAGAGAAAGCAATAGGATGGTAATAAGGTTTACTGTTTAGCTTGGAAGAGATTGTTACGTCAATTATTGATATTGTGTCTAGATTTTTATAAAATTTAAATGTAATGTTTAAATTTGTTTTGGTATAAATGTAATTTTTTGGTTTATCAGTTTGGATTTCGGTGGCGGATAGAAAAAGAAGTAATATCTGGAAAAGGTAATTTTTTTCCTGAATTTTACTTTTTAATAAGATACAGATCATTTTGTTATTGAAGTCATTAAGTAAGATTATTCCTAATATATACAGTAAAGATTATCTACAAAAGTAAAAATGTTAAAGCTGTATTCATGGTACATTACTAGAGCAGATAAAAAGACAGTGCTTCAGGAATTTTACCTTTAGAGCATTGGGCTTGATTACTCATTCTACTTCATCTCAGAGTATGAACATTTTAAAATGTGCTTTTAAATGCCTGTTTATGTTGGTACTAAAATACGTGTCTTTATATTAAGACTTAAAAATATTAATTTTTATCAATCTAATTATTATTAACTATTTGAAAGGATTTACAGGTATAAGTGCATGTACTTGGAAGAATGTATTTATTCTTCTATGATATTTGTGACTATACTTTTTTAGAACTCTAACTTTCTGAAGTGTAGAATCCTTAATATGGAATCACTAAAACTGTATCTAAATATAGTCTCTCTGTTCAGAAAGAATTCTGTGACCGATGTGTCTTAATGCTGACTTTATAGAACTACGAATTTATGTTGAGTAAATTTCAGAGTTTACACTAGATTGTATAGATAAATATTGTCACCAGCTATTATAGTTAATATTACTTTCTTTTTTTACAGGCCAGTTTTTCTGTGGAAATAAATGTTGCAATAAAAAAGATGGCTTAAAGAGTTGGGAAGTTAATTTTGCTTATATTGAGCATGGTGAAAAGAGAAATGCACTTGTCAAGTTAAGTAAGTTGAATTTAGTTGGGATTTGATTGAGTTCATCCAAGTTTACCTAATAACTTAGTTTTAAATATATATAAATATTAATTTAAAATTCCCTTCAAAACTCCTGAAGGAGTTTTTTCCTCAGAGCTTCCCAAAGTCTTAAAGAGCTTTGGAGACTAAAATTTTTATTCCCACATTATAGTTACATTAGGTGAATTAATTTTAATGTGAATGTAAACCAGTAATTTTATAAAGTAAAGACCTCTTCCCATTAACTTGAGAAAGTTACCAAATTACATGGTTAAGATGAAAGTATCAGAAATGACAGTGTAAAATCTCACATTAGCTGATAACCTTATTGTTATTGTGTGGATACTAAATAAAGGTACTCTCTTTGATCATTGAAGACAGAATTTTAAGAGGACATATAAGTTGTTCTTGGTATCAGTTTTAAAAGCTTAGGGCTATACCAGAATATATCAGCTTTTCTTAACATATGCATTCTATAATGTCATTATTTTCTTTTTTCCTTTCTAAGCTTATTTTCATGTGGCAGCTTATTTTCTCCTTCAAATGCTAATGGCCATCTGTGGGTCCTAAGTTAATGTGCCCTCAGAGCTTTTTGTCCACTCCAAATAGAAGTAAAGAATTTCCCCTGATACAGACTGCTTTCTGAGTTCTTCCTGAAAGTGTTCATGAGAAGTCAACTAGTATGAACTGAGGTTAAGGCAAAAGAAGAGGCTACAGTGGTGGCATTGTTTGAAAACTTTGCATTTGAAAACTCTAAGAGCTCTTCAGGGAAGTAACTTTCCCACATTGTTATTAGGTATCTTTGAGGTGACAAACATGTTAATACTGGTCATGAAATACAGTTTGCTTTTAGGGTAAATTAATAGCACATTTTTCTAAAGTAATGATAGAATATTTTTAATTCCTTACATATTTTAATGTTTTTATTCATTATATGCATTTTTGAGGTGGAGAGAATAGATTGTTTTCTTCAGATTATTTACTTTATTATTTTATTTTTTGTAGGATTATGCCAAGAATGTTCCTTTAAATTAAATTTTCATCACAGGTAATACTGTTTTTTTAAATGCTGTTGTTGGTGTTTGGTAGACTGGGGCATAGTCATTTACCTGCTTTGAGTGTCTAAATATAGACTTGATAGGTTGATGGTTTGATTAGTTGATTGTGCAGAATATCAGGCATTTACTGTATAACCACATAAACCAAGAAACTAGAAATTCATCATCTTCTACTTTAGCTAAGCAGTTTCAAATGAAGTCCTGTGAAGGGTGTTAGATAAATGCTACAATTTTAAATTTGGAGTCAATATTCAGACACAGTAATTTTCTTAGAAATGATGTTTTAAAGCAAATCTTCATAAATCATTTTTTTTGAAGATTTATTTTTTATTTATACAATAGCTGGGGTACAGGCCAGAGGCGCAGGAGGGTGAGAGGATTCACCAGAGACAGAGTGGGGAGCAGAACAGGCAGACAGACCAAAATACACTGCGGAGGGGAGCAGCGGGTGAGATAGGAGAGGTCTGTCGTGCCATGTGGGAATCTACCTGACTCGCCGGGAATCAAACCCATGCTGCAGTCTGCGAACATCTTAACAGCACTGTGCTCAACCCCCTGTGCCACCAGGGAGGCCCCATAAATCATTCTTAGGTCTCATTTTAATACAGTGTTTTCATTGGCATTTGCCATTCTTGCAGAGGATTATATACCCTGATGCTCATTTCACATTGATTGAGCTAAAATGTGTTTACCATATTGAGTGGGGGCGTGATACCAGTGTTCTGCAATATGCAGTATATTTAAGATTATGGACTTTGAAATCAGACTTTTGGGTAGTCTTCTCAGCATATTACTATCACTTAGTGGGCCTCTTCTTATCCAAACTACTTAATCTCTCTAAGACTCAATTTTATCATCTCTTACAATAAGGATACCAATATTATTGTGGGGAGTAAATCAAAGTACATGTAAAGTGTGTCACACAGTACCTGACATATGACAGGTCAAGCATAGTAGAGTCCCTGACATTAAAGGTGTTGAGACAAAATCAGATTTTAAGATCAGCTTGTTTAAAAATGAGTCCTATCTAGCATTTTAACTGATAAAAATAAATAGTAAATAATTAACAATTCTCTAATCCTTAAAATTAGCAGAATTTTTTAGATTACTTAAATAACCTATACCTTTATTTCCCTTTCCATCAATGGTACTGGTAAGATACCAGATGTACTTTTTTGACCTTGACTTTCAAGCTTCATTTCAAAACTGAAGTGATTTTATGAAAGAGGAAAAGAACAGTTATTGTCTTAAATAGTATTATAGCATTTAGTATAAGTAAGTACCTTAATTTGGAAGTTCTTGAAAATAAACCTCTCTTTTTCCCTTTACCCTTCTTCCTAGCATCAGTTTCAGCATTATCACCTTTTCCTAATTAATATTTCCTTTCTTAAAATGTTCAACATCACTTGTAATCAGGGAAATGCAAATCAAAACTACCATGAGATACCATCTTACACCAGTGAGAATGGCACATATTAAAAAAACTAGCAACAACAAATGTTGGCGAGGTTGTGGAGAAAAAGGAACTCTCCTGCACTGTTGGTGGGAATGCAAACTGGTCCAACCACTATGGAGAGCTGTGTGGAGATTTCTGGACCTACTAAACATAGAGCTTCCATATGATCCAGCAATTCCACTCCTAGGTATTTACCCAAAGGACACAGAAACATCAATTCCAAAGAACACCTGCACCCCTATGTTTATAGCAGCACTATTTACAATAGCTAAGCTTTGGAAACAGCCCAAATGCCCAAAAATAGATGACTGGATCAAGAAGATGTGGTACATATATACCATGAAATATTACTCATCATTCAAAAAAGATAAACACATGCAATTTGCAGCAACATGGATGGCGCTGGAAGGGATCATGCTCAGCGAAATAAGCCAAAAAGAAAAAGAAAAATACCGGATGGTCTCACTCATAGCAGGAATCTAGAAAACTTAAATAAGGGATCAGGAAAATGAATAACTATAAGAAAGTGAAAATCAAAATCAACAAAAAACTATGAACCAGAGACACTTTTTGGGGGGTGGGGGCCGGGAGGGGAGGGATTGGGGTCAGAATGGGGCATGTGCAGTTGTATGGGGGAATATAAAAATAAAATTTATTATTTAAAAAAAAATAAAAATAAAGGTTGTAAAAATTCAAAAAAAAAAAAAAAAGAAAGAAAAAATTTCCTTTCTTAGCCGTTAAGATCAATTGCTCACCAATTATGGCACTGACAATCTTGTAAATGAGGCCTGGGAGAGATAAAGCTATAGTAATAAAACAACGTATGATGTAAAGTAGACGTATGATTTAGGTAAGCATCTCCGTCCTCCTTCCATTGTACCTTCACTACATTCCTACCTTCTTAAGAGAATTTTCTATTTACTGATGATTTAGAACTGTTAGTGGTTTCTTATTACTATATATACTTTTACCTAAAATATTTAGAGATTAACTTAAGGATTTCTTATTATATAAATTGTATTTTTTAAACAAATAATTGATTTAATTTTTTTCTTTGCTCATTGGTTTTTATTTTTTGTAAGGTGAGTTAAAAGTTAACTTTAATTTTTTTTATTGTTTATCATAAAGGAGAAAAGAAGTCAAGTCAAAAAAAAGAAAGGGTAAAGTCAAAACAGATGATGAAGAGTCATCACCTAAAAAATCCAGATTGTCTTCTGCAGAAGAGACCTCCAAGAAAAAAGATAAAGGTAATGGTGAATAAAATATCTACTCACAGTCCTGAACGTGAAGTGTAACCAACCATAATGTCTCAGCTGTAGAATTTAAATGTGTTTAGAATTCTGTTTTATAATAATTGAAAGAAAATTGGGTGGTGAGTTTAGCTATGAGTTTACAGTAACTTTTAAAAACAAAGTTATTTTTGATTCATTTTTGGCAGACAGTATAATATTGAAAACAGCATTCTAATCCTGGCCTTGTTTCTTAAAGACGTGTTATCTGGAGCAAATTGGTGAGCTTCGTGTGTTTTATTTTTCCCAACACTTACCTGACCTCTGCACCGTTTGAGCCATCAAATAAGTATGTGAAAGGCAGTTAGAATCAAATTATATTGCTGTGATTTTGGCTATGGTCTGTATGATTTTCTTACTTGCTGATGAACTTGAAATGGTAGCGTTTGGTATATATGGGTCCTCAGCAATATAGATGGAGCGGGAGAGGACTATGCTAAGTGACATCGGTAAGATGGAGAAAGACAAACACCAGGTGATTTTACTCATGTGGGACAGAGAGAAACAATACAAAAGAACTGACAAAACTAAGCCAAAACAAACCCTAGACATCTGACTGTAGAGTTGAGGTTGTCAGAGGGAGAGGGGTGGAGTGAGGAGCAAAGCTGGGAGGGGCGTTGTGTGACAGCTTACATCTGAGGAGCTGTGAGCCTGTGCCTCTAAATTATACACAGTGTTGTAAACCAGTGTTACTTTAATACACAATAATACAATTAGAAAAAGGAGTTAAACTGGTTAGAACTTTGACTGAATTGGACTTAGAGTAGCAGGTAATGTAGATTGAATTAGATTCAGGCCGATGCTAACATAATAGTTGGACAGAAGAGGGCTCCCTTGCTCCAGCTGTGAAGATCGCCATTCTTAACATTTGTTTTGTTTTTTTTTTCTCCCTAAAGCATGTAGTATCACCAAGTTTTAGATTTGGTAAAATTGGTAGATGATAAGAAGAAAATTGTTACTATATTGTTTACTGAGAAATGTATTTGAAGTAGAATACCTTTTGTTTCTAGATCATTCCCAACAATAAAGTTTGGGAAACACTGCTCTATATTACCCACTGACTGTTTTTGCTTCAGCACCTACAAGGAAGCAGAACCCACTGCATTCCCAAATAATCTTTTACATTTTACGTAGTTGTAATTGCTGGCAGATTTCTTTTAATATTTAGCCTAAACCTACAACTTCTTACTTTTGGTTCCAATTATGTTCTTCGGCCTCCAGAAAAAACCTAACCTCTTTTTTTACCTATAGACATTTGGAAGCAGGTATCATGTTCTTCGTATAGTAAAGAAAATAACAAAGAAGAATACATTTCTTTTGCCATCAGAAGCTTGGTTACTGTGTTTGTTTGTTTGTTTGTTTGTTTGCTCTCACAACTTGGAAATGAGGAGTGAAGAAGCAGTATCCTAAAGCAGTTGCTGAGTTGGGGTCTTTACCATGTAGTCCTTGCAGCCTCTTTGCCTGGCTTTAAAGGAGCTTTTCATGAGCCAGCTTTGGCTGATAAAACCTTCTATCCAGGGAGTTGCAGCAGTGGTTACTCTGCATATATTAGCTGTCCTTTTTTGATTTTGCACCCCAGAGAAATATTTCCCCAGGGGTCTTCTAGGAGTCTGTGTATAGTGATGATTTTTAAAAAATGACACCAATATATCTTCAGTACTTTTCAGTTTCCATTTTCCTTACTGGTAACCATTGTATAGCTGAAAATATTTTATGACATAGTTGTCTGTGTGATTTTCAAATGCTAGGAACAGATTTTCACATACATATATATGATGTTTGTAAAAAATGATCTTATTTCTAAGCTGTTTTTAGATGTTGAACATCTCTGGTGAAATGTTGCTTGTATTGCAACTAATATATGAGGTGTTTTTTTTTAACAATATGAGTTGTTTTTTTTTTCAGGTATTCATTATTTTTAAGCTTCGTCCTAGGTTATCTAGGTCATAATAGAATGTGCTTTAAAAGAACCTAATTTTTTTTAATTTTTAAAAATTTTTTTACATCATTATTCATTTTTAAACAATATTTGCTTCCTGCCACCCCCCCACGTGTAGTCCCCATAGAGTTTCCTTCACCATTGTGCCTGTACATCATCACCTCAGTCTCCTGTGCTCCTCCCTCCCTCCCTCTCATCTCTCTCCCTCCTCTTCCCTTGCAGGATGTCTCTAATTTATAATTGTCTATTTTTGAAGAACCTAAAATTTTAATTAGGGATTTAAGTCTAAGGAACATAACAAATTAGAAAACAATGAATTGCTTGTCTGTATGACTATAAGCAAATTCAACTATTGGAAAAATTCTGGTTACAGTTACAACTGTTGCACTACAAGATTATTCTTAACAAAAAAATGCTGCTTCCTTTTCAGGACATTCATCTTCAAAGAAACTAGAAAATTCTGGAAATAGTAAGTATCAAGTATTTTTTTAATTAAAATCTATAGATTCCAATTATTTGCAATTCAGTTTTTCCATGAATTGTGACTTGATCTCAAGTATATTATTTTTTGGGTTTTTTTGCACAGTTAGAAAAATGATAGAAAAAAGACCCAAACTATATGGTTTCTTCCACATTTTAGAACATTTAAAAATTTAAGTTTAAAAGCTTAAGAATGTTTTCCAGTAAATACAGTGGATACATATTTTAGTTTTAGATTATGAAATATGAAGGAAGAAAAATGGGATGAGGTTGGATTGAGAATGAAACTATGGAAGTGCATTAAAATTTAAGAACTATTGCATATGTTGTGCTTTGCTTATGCTGCCCATGTTGTTTATGTAGACTTGAGTTGTCTGTCATTTGTGATCTTGATTGATCAAATTATGTGTTTTGTATATGGAAAGCAATTATGTGTTCAAATTATGTGTTTTGTATATGGAAAGCAAAATGTTAGCAAATGTTGCTACTGGGTAACTTTTTAATAAGTCCTATGTTTTTCATTAGATTGGATCAAACTATATTATATTTTATTGATTTATTTGCTAAGAGTTTTATTATCCTCCCCAGGTACCTCCCCCCCCCACCTTGCATCATTCCCTAAAGTATTCACAACAACTTAAAAAATATATATAAAAAATAAGGTCTAGGGCCTCCCTGGTGGTGCAAAGGGTTAAGATGCAACCTTTGAAGCTATTGAAGCCTCTGCAGCATGAGTTCGATCCCTGGCCAGGGAGATACCCACATGGCACAGCAGACCTCTCCTGACTTGCCCGCTGCTCCCCTCAGCAGTGTATTTCAGTCGATCTCCCTGTTTTACTCCCCACTCTGTCTCTGGTGAATCCTCTCACCCCCCACACCTCTGGCCTGTACCCCAGTTCTTGTATGCTTAAGTAAATAAATCTTTTAAAAAGCTAAAAAAAAAAAATAAGGTCTATAAAGGTGAAGTCAGAATAATGGAAAAGATTTATGTAACAAAGTAAAGCTAAAGGTGTCTGTACAACTATTTACCAGAAATTTGCATAATTTCAATGATAGATCATAAATCTATTACTATTCTTCTAACCATCAAACCAAAAGAGGGAAGCCATCAATAGATGATTAATTGTACCCATACAATATTAAAGAGAACTTACAGTGTTCAGCTTTTTCCAGCAGAATTTTGAGCTTTGTAAAGAAGGGCATTCTTTTGTGATATAACAGTGGCCTCACACCTAAATAGTACTACGATATCAAATTTTTTAGACTTTACAGTAAACTTGGGGTCTAACAATAAAGTTCAGTAGCATATCTAATATATTTTATAATATTTGAATTTATTTTATAGACATTTAGAAGTTTAAGACTTCTTATTTTGAAGTATATAAACTTATTTTTATGAGTTTAAAGTTTTATGTGTATATGGTCAAACACAGGGAAAAATTTAGTAATTATTCCAAATTCCATCACTTATATATAAACATTATTAGCATTTTAGTATAATCCTTGAGAATTTTTAAGTGTTCAGTAATCAAAAATTTTTCACTGTTAAATTAGAAAAATAGAAATTTGAAAATATTCACTGTCAAAAAATTTAACAGAAAGGGAGGTATTGATGGAAGCAGACCTGTAATTTAGGAGTACAGCATATTCCCTTATAAATTATTTAGTATGAACAAAATAATTTATGAACAAAATAATTTTCCAGCTCTGTCATTAAACACAGGTTTGTAACTCCAAAGTCTAAACCCTTTTTTGCCTATCTCTTCAATAACTGTTCGTCAGTGAATTAAATATAAATCTACTCTTTACACTCCACTTTTGGCAGATATTTTACACAAATCCATATTAAATAATTTGATCTGTCTCAGTTCTCTTTGTAAGATGAATATTTGGAGTCTTGGACTTGAGATAACATACTTGCAAAGCATGTGTCTGAAACAGAGTAAGTCCTTGATAACCTGTAGCTATTCTTATGTCAGAGAAAAATGTACTAGCCTCCAATAGTCTGTGCTTGTTGTCTAGAACTGACTAGAGAAGTCTGTAAGTTGACCTGTCTCTTTGTTATGCTAATTGGAGACTTGCTGCTTCTTTAGAACACCAAGTTATTAGGTATATCAAATATCCAGCAAAACTAAGACGATAGAGGGCATCCCCGGTGGCGCAGAGGTTGAGCGCTGGGTTGCGAAGCTGCCCGCAGCCTCTGCGGCACCGGTTCGAACCCCGGCTGCTCCCCGGCCACCGGAGGAGGGTCCCACATGGCGCGCAGACCTCTCCTGCCGCCCGCTGCTCCCCTCAGCAGTGTACTTCGGTCCTTCTGCCTGCTCTGCTCCCCGCTCTGGCTCTGGTGAATTCTCTCACCCTCCCACGCTTCTGACTGTACCCAGTGCATGTATAAACAAAACAAACAAACAAATAAATAAATATAAATAAACATGCCTCTATAAAATTAAAAAAAAAAAAAACTAAGACGATAGACTTGCTTTTATTATTCAAAGCATAATTTGGAGAAAAATGAAGGGAAGAGAAGGAAAGGGTAAGGAGATAGACTTGGAAACCATTGATATTGGCAAAACTGCTACTATGTAGGAGATTTATTTTTAGTGACTGGTTGGCAGAACTAGAATCTATGGATAAAAATGGACTGAGGACAGATTTTTGCCTTAATTTAAGGAAAAACATGTCAATTAAAACTATGAAGGAAGGATTGGAGAAAAGGGCTGCTTCAGGAATTAGCGAGATCGTCAAGCATAGGTTGGGTAGCTACTTGCTATTTATGGTATTGCAATCAGAGGTTTATTCATTGGATAAGGGTTGAATTAAATATCTCCAAGATCTCCTCCCAACAGAGTCAATGACTTAAATTCTCATCCCTACTTGCCAATAATTGTAGCATAGATTTGACACTGATGCAAAAAACATCATTTCTTTATTCTGTTCTCCAGTTGTTATTGCTTTGGCAATACCCTGCCCATCTCTGGAGGTTGGAACAGTAATCATAAGAATATGTAGTTGGGTCACCCTCATGGAAGAAGGTATAGATTTATAGGGACCTTAAACGTATATAGTCCAGTCTTACAAATTTGATTTTCTAAGGCTCTTTGGCTACTTTTTGACATGTGCTCCTTCAAAGAGTATTCTGTTATATTCTGTTATAATGTTATTCTAAACTGATTTGGTTATTTAGTAAAACTGGATTGTCTGGTATCAGAAAACTGGTATAGAAAGCTGGCATGTAGGAAGTGCTCTAGAAATGGAAGAAAACAGATGGCTGTATGTCTTTTATACTTAGTGCTCACTTTTAAAGACCGTTTTCAGTTTTGATCTCTGACATCATTAATAGGGTAACACCTTAGTGATAACTTTTGGGGCCTGATTTTAGTTTTTCTGTGTTTTTTAAACCTAATGTCAGTGATTTTTCCTAAAAATAAGAGTGGAAGAAATTATGTATTTAATTTGGGACACAGGCATTTCTAATGCCTATCATTGAATGGAAATCTCACTCCCAAGGCTTTTCATTTTTATCAGCTTGTATGTAAATCATTAGAAATCTAAATATCCCTTATATGTATGCCATTTTTGTTAGATTGGTGCCAGAATAAATTCTGTTAGGGTCAAAGTTCAGACATGCATGTTGATTGAAGGATCAAAGTCTAGCAGGTGAAAGTGTAGAACCACAGTGGCAAATCAGTGCTGTTCTATTTTTGTGTTGTGTTTAACTAAGGGACATTCTGTATTGCCAGGCCAAATATGTGTCTGTTCTTTTTTAGGCTAATGGTCATTATTAGAGAGGCATTATTTGCTAATGGTATTATTTTGTAGGATATAATTTTATTGCCTCATAATAGATTTTTTAACATTTCATAATTTTTCATTCACTAATACAGGATAATCCATCTTGTTATTTTTTTAAATTGTTTTTACCGATTTAAAGTGAAAACTGATCACTGTTTAAAATCATTATGCTGGTCATTTAAAATACATTAAAAATTTGAAAATGATTAAAGTACAAAATAAAAGATTCAGGCAATAGAATCACTGTTTGGTTGGGCTTTACAAGCATATATGCATACACATATATATCATGCTATAGGTACCTACAGTGTTGCCATAGATGGTAACAGTTAATATATTAATATGTAATTGCTATATATAGATAGATCCATATATAAACATATATTTAGTGTTTTAAGCATAAATTAGGATATACTAATCATGTATTCTGAAACTTTTAAAAAATTTGATTGTAACACAGACATTTTTCCATGGGAATAAATAGATATGCCACGATTTTTAAAACAGCTATATAGTATTTATTTAACAGATTATTAATCCTTAATTGGTGGGAATTTAGGTTGTTTTTCTATTGTTGCTACTTTAACTCTGTAACTTAGGGTAAGTTCCCCGTGAGATTTTATTTTATTTTATTTTTTCAAAGATTTATTTATTTATGCATACAAGAGCAGGGGTACAAGGCCAGAGGTGGTGGGGAGGGGTGAGAGGATTCACCAGAGACAGAGCGGAGAACAGAACAGGCAGACTGATGAAATACGCTGCTGAGAGGAGCAGCGGGCTAGTCGGGAGAGGTCTGCTGCACCATGTGGGTAGCTCCCTGGCCAGCGAACTCGTGCTGCAGTGTTTGCAGATAGCTTCATAGGTTGCATCTTAACCCCTTACACCTCCCATGAGATTTTAAATGCTTACCATTTTTGCTGAGACTTGGGTATATCTCAGCTATTTTTTATATATATTTTTTAAGATTTATTTATTCATGTATACAAGAAGCAGGGCACAGGCCAGATGTGCGGGAGAGTGAGAGGATTCACCAGAGACAGAGCAGGGAGCAGAACAGGCAGATCCACTGAAATACTTTGCTGAGGGGAGCAGCGGGCGAGACAGGAGAGGTCTGCAACGCCAAGTGGGATTCTCGCCAGCCGGCCAGGATCAAACCCGCACTGCAGAGGCTGGGGACAGCTTCACAGCGCTGCTCTCAACCGCCTGTGCCACCCAGGGAGGCCCACCTTATTTATTTTTAAAAAGAATTTACTGATATGGAAGAATGACTTCAATTTCCAATGAGCCATAAGAGTTGAAGCTAAATTGCAGTTAAATTAAAAGTTAATTGTACCAGTGGTTAATTTGAAATGTGTTTAAAATACATACTTAACAAAATCTCTTTTAAATGAACAGGAAACTCTGATGAGGAAGAAAGTACTTCAGAATCCGAACTTTGGAAGGGCCCACTACCAGAGACAGATGAAAAATCACAGTAAGTCCTGATATTAATAGATAAACTTTCAGTTTAGAATGCTGTGACTACAGCCACAGTTTTTGCTAGTGTTTAATGGACATCTTGAAAGTCTATTTAATGCCTAAGACCAACTAGACTGGTTAAATCCTAGCCATTGTTTGTGTCCATAAATAGCCACGTTCTCCAGCTTCCTCTTGATAAATAAACCTTTCCTCAGCTCACCTCAACATGTGACCCTCTGGTTTTTGCTTCAGAGAAGAGCTGTTTACTAGCACCTACAGTAGCCTATTCATGATAATCTGATTGTCATAGACCCATACAAGGGAGCCCCTTGAAGATTTATGCAAATGTAAAAGTTTACTTGCTAACATACCCACATTAACCCCCAAAGACAGATAACTCAGTGCATATATTATGTGTTCTGCTGTGGGTAACAGGCACTGTCTGAATCGGGGGGCGATGTTACCAGTTGTTGTCATACACTGGGATATTTATCACTTGAACATTATCTGTTAAAAGAGGATAAGGTAATACCCACAGCATAGAGTTTATTGTGAAGACCTAATGAAATAAAGAATGTTTCATCTGGTACAACACCTACAAATATAGTAAGTTCCCAATAGATTTTAGTTCCCTTTTATTAGTCCCTAGACATATTAGTTCATAATAGATTAAGAGACCTTTGAATATGTCATAATTCACTAATTTTAAGCTGATTATAAACCTGCTTGCTAATTATTTGATATATTCTCAGTGTAACAGAAGTCAGCTTCTTTAGGAAAAAAAAAACAATTTCTAATAATAGAAGATTTTTAAAAACAAGATCACCTTTTTTTTTTCTTTTGGTGATCTTGACCTTTTTTTCCAACCAAATAAAGAATTCCCAAATGTGTAGTCAAATTATAAACAGTACTTATGTTCTTTACATAAAATATTATAAATAATATATTGCTATCCTAGTTAAACTGCTTTTAGCTTAAAATGAGATAATAGGTCCCAGAGTTAACTTACTGTATATAGATACATCAGTAAAACTTAAGAAAAATCTTCCTTAATTCAAAACTTTTTGTGACCTTATAAAAACTTGACATCAATTAATCACTGAACATCTAAGTCCACACAGATGTTTAATTAATTACATATATTTAAATTCTTACTATAGTTTTAAAAATTCTCCTGCATTTTGCTGTCTTGCTAGGATCATGGGAAATATCAAATTGCTCATTCTTAATTCTGTAATTAATTTTTTTCTTGAAATTTGAACATGGTTGTGATGACTTTCTGCATTCACAACTTTTTTAAACAAAATAGTGAATCTCTGACTTAAAATGACATTTTCTGAAGAGACTGGTGGACTAAATTTGATTGTCCAGCTTGATTCACTATTCCTAAGACAAAGAAAAGTAACCTTGCATTTACTACTCATAGCAACTCTATGAGGAATATAATTTTCAACATTTACAGATAAGGAAACTGAAGAAGTTAAGAATTTGCTCACCCAACTAATAAGTGACAAAGCTAGCATTTAAATACTGACTGACTTGAATGCCTGTGTGATTTCCACTCTATAACACTAATTTTTATTTGGTACTTTACAATTTTCATAATTTTTAACACATAATCTAATATTTCCTTTTAGAGTTGTACACTTTTAGATATAACCTTGACTATACAAGTACATAATGTATTTACCATTCTCAGAATAATAAAAAACCTATATCCTAAGCATATTTTTTTCTCCATTCCTAAGAGTAGGACTTGTATTTTTCTAAAAAGAAAATTTTCATTCTGTTTTTGATCATACTATAATTTGAAATGAGAAAGAACAAAGAAATTATAAAGTCAATGAAGAAAGTAAAGAGAAGAAATAACATTTCACAAAGACTTCAAAGTAAAATCTTAGGAAATATATACATTTAAGGAGACCTACCAACAACATATAGAACATTTTGATTTTAACCAATCTGTGTATAGTTATGATTATTCTAGAGTCTAAGAATTGCTTGATTGCTAAATCCTGAAATATATTGATATATATAGAATCACAAATATGTTGACTTAAAACATTTTATTTCTTTATTCTTGTATCTATCACCTAGCATTATTTTCTCTAATTGTTGATTTTAATCCATATGTATACTTTTTCTCTTAAATAGGGAAGAAGAATTTGATGAATATTTTCAAGATTTGTTCCTGTGAGATGCAGGAAAGAAGCCTATATTCCTTAATGTGAAAGTATACTTTGAAATTCTTCACAAAAGTTTTATTTATGAGTGGTAGCTTGAGTGGTTTGTCCTTAGAAATAAAAATCTAGCAGCTCTCAGGATGTCAGATGCTTTGGCAGTTCTTTAGTTTTATTAGGGCCACTTTCCCCCAACCTTTGTATATCTTTCCATTATTTATTTTCAACTGTTTTATCTGTAGCCCTGGAGAATAGAACTAATAAACTATACAGACATTCCATTGTTCTATGTTTTTAGGCTATTCCCCTACTTATTCATGTTTATCTTCCCTTCAATTAGTTTAGATTATTGGGGTCTCACAGAACTTACAAAGTAGATAAAGAATGTGGTCAGCCTCTACTTCTCTTGGATATAGTGACACTCTCCTGTTAATCACTTATTTTCCCATTACCATCTATTTTAGATGCCTTTCTTCCCCCATGCTTTTCTCTTGCTTCCTTTGTACCTTTACCACTTCGGGGAGTTTGTTATAATCAAATTTGACTTCCCAGTTTGTGGGTAATTTACTATAAAATAAATTAATACCACAGGAGACCAGAAGGGGTCCCCATAGTCTACAACAGTGGTGTGCTGACTTCCCCACAGAGATTACACAATGAAATAATTTAACTGAGTAATACTGTGTGTATAGAGCTTGTCCAATACAGTCATGTAAATATGGATATACTTCTAAGCAGGGATATACTGTAAGAGTAACTTCTTAGGGGCCACACCCTGAATGGGTCTGAGGATATGCTTCAGGAGATCTAAACACTCCTAGAAACTATGGCTAAATTTTTACTCTGTGTGGATTTTGGAGAAAGAGTCCATAACTTTCATCAAATTTTCAGAAGAGCTTATTTTTTTTTTTAAAGTGGAGACCCACTTATAAAGAGCAAATGGATGGATAGAAGAGAATTCAAGAAATGTTTCTACAGTTTTTATTACATGTGAAGCACTGTGCTGGACATTGCACACAGGAACTTTCTAGGAAATAATTATGCAGTCTTTTCTAAACTACCAGAAAATAGTAAAGTGGTATTAGTTTATTAATGTGTGTTACAGTCAGTGACATTCAGTCCCCCAGTTGCCTGGGGCTTTGAAGTTAAGTTTCATATACTTGCTCTTAAGCAAAGTTCTTATCTATGGCAGCCCTTCCTTGGTGGCAGTATCTTCTGTATAACAAAGTCTCTAAGATTCATATACCTTCAATTTATTATAATTTAGATACTTTTTAAAAGAAAATATGTGGCAAAATGTATGGCATAATTGTTATTTGGTCGGTTTTCTAATTTGTTCTGTGATTCAAGACAAGTAAAGAAAGAAAGCTCAAATTTCTCTGAAGCCCAGATATATATCATATAGTAGAAGTAGCTGATAGTCTTGTTTCTTTCACAATTCATTATTTGAAAGGTCCGGTTAGAAAGATCAAGTAATTATCTTTTAGAAGTGACCTCTATTGAATTCCTTCCAAACTGCTTTTGATAATGAAGTTCTTATATATCAAGTCATATGCTTCTTAATAATGCATAATATATATTACCTCATTTAACATGCATTAGGATTATTCAGGCAATGTCTTATAAATTGATAATTTTCTCAATAAGCAAAATAGTTCTGAACATTAAAAGAATTCTTAGTTGCACATAACAAAATAATTTATTTCAGACTTGGCAGGGGCAGAGGGAAAGGTATAAGACTAAAACATAGTTTGTAAGCTGCAAAAATGTTGTCGTCACCATTCCATTATCAAGGGTAAAAAGTAGAGGAAAGAAATGATAAGCATTTCAGGTGGAATAACATCTGAAATCCGTTTCTTTGTTTCATGTATAGGATTTACATATACATTGTATACTATATATCAACTTTTAGATTAAGACATGTTGATGAGAGACTTAGTTCAGGCAAGGGTTTGAGGTATGAATCATAATTATTAATATTATGGGCTAAATCATGTCCCCTGTCATTCATTATGTTGAAATCTTTTTGTTGTTGTTGTTAAAGATTTATTTATTTATACAAGAACCGGGGTAGAGGCCAGATATGTGGGAGGGTGAGAAGATTCACCAAAGACAGGGTGGGGAACAGAACAGACAGACTGACTGAAATATACTGCTGAGGGGAGCAGCAGGCGAGACAAGAGAGGTCTGCTCACCATGTGGGTATCTCCACGGCTGGTGGGGATAGAACCGGCACTGCAGAGGCTGCGGACAGCTTCACAGCACTGCGCTCAACCACCTGCACCATCAGGGAGGCCTCATATGTTGAAATCTTAACCCCTGGGACCTCAGTGTGTAACTATTTGGAGATATGATATTGAATGAGGTAATTAAGGTAAGATGAGATCGTGTGAATGGGCCTTAATTCAACGTGATTGGTGTCCTTAACGAAAAGAGATGAGAACACAGACACAGAGGGAAGACCATGTAAAGGCTTTACCCATACGACTCAGAGAAAGTTCTCACAAGAAACCAACCCCTGCTGACACCTTGATCTTGAACTTAGAGCCTCCAAAACTGTGAGACAACAAATTTCTGTAAAGCCTTCCAGTCTGTGGTATTTGGTTATGTTATCTCTAGCAAAAGAATATAATTAACAAGAGCTTTAAAGAATTGGTGACTACTTTTCAGGATTATATATTTTTAATTTAAAAGAAATTGGTACCCCCCCCAAAAAACATATTTTTGTCTTATTTTGCACTTTCCTTGAACTTTATTTTTCCGAGGGTTTACAGGATAGAGATATATTTTTCTCTTGGGAGTCACAGGGATGACTTTTCTGAAGCTTGTCTTACTCTGTCCTTGATCACTTGCTGACTGTAATTTGCTGAATTTTTTGAATGTTTTATTTTTCTTCAAAAGTAGAAACTATTTGACATTTAGACCTCTTGGATTATATTACAACATTTGACATGTCTTGGACTTTCTGTCATCACCACCACCTCCTGAATCTTCTGCAGCTAGTAAAAAGAAGAAAAAAGGTATTATCAGGAACCAGTGGATATAAAGTGTTTTGTTCCTATACTTTCATGATATTAGTAACAACTTTCTAGCTAAGTAGTGATTTTAACTTGTAACAAGTACTAAGGCTTTGAGCATTTAAAATTTTGAATTCATATTCAGATTTGGTCTATTAAAAACATAGAGTGTAATAAATGGCTGGCCAATTAGCATCTCAGTTTCTCAAGAAAAGCACTGAACTTCACAATCTGGGAATCATGAATTGTTGCTTTGTGCCAGGCACGAAGCTTGATGCCAGTCAGTTCATCTGCAGTCATATATAAGATTTTTTTGGAGTAGGGAAGATTGAAAACCATGAATCAACTTATAATTGCCAGCCTAAGTACAGTAAAGCAAGTTTCGCATTTATATTTTTTATGTTATATGAGATAAGTCAGCCTGATTTCGGGCTATTTTACTAAAGTGAAAAAAAATTCCATCTAACCTTTTCCAATCGTGTTTCCTTCTTCCTGCTTTTTCATCTCCTCTTCAATTACTTTCATCTTTTCCTCATACTCATCAGCTAGGGATTTCCATTTTATTCTATTATTCTGAAGACCATTCAGCATTGGTGTGATTTCTTTGTGAAACCGTGAGAACTCCTAGAGAGAATTTTTAGGCCAGAAACTACTTAAATCCTAGAGTTGATTTTGATTACTGTGCAGAGAAAGCTGTAAGGAGTCATACAGTGTTCACAGCTGCGAGAAAAAGCTTAACACCCTGGAAATTTCTTTCCTACCTGCCTAAATTGCCTGTTCAGTTTGCTGGGATCTGAGTTTTCTCTCCATTTATTCCACCCCTGAATGAGACATAAGGGTAATACTTCAAACAACTTTGGAGAATTAAGAACATCCCTAAATGCTTTCCCTGTAGGGTTCCCCTTTGATTTTGGGTACAGTTTAAAAAATTCTTATGCAGAAAACTATATAGTTCACTCAAATAATCAATTTACTTACCTTATATACAAAAGTACAGACAAAATCAATAAACCCAACTTGAAGTTTAGGTAGCTCATCTTTTTTGTTTCTGTCCATCATAGGCTAGAAAAAGAAAGAAGTTCTTTTAAGATAGTTTTCTAAGACTCTGAACAAAATAGACTGATTTGTATTGAAATTTTTAATAAGTAGTCATTTATATGTAAGGCTTTACAATAGGTTGTTGCTGCAGCACTGTTCTCTCCAGATCTCCTTGTTCCCAAAATTCATTTGCAACCAGAAGTGCTACCTGCAAATAAGAAAGGCTTGGTTTATGAAAGCCACTTCAGAAATTTGCATTTTGTTTTTATGGCATTTAAGGATAGAGTTTATAGTTAATGCTTGAGGTATTGTCATCCCTTGTGATCTTTGGTTTAAAGATGCCGTTTACAGATTATATTGAAATGGAAAAAAGGAAATTCTCTTCCCTACTACAGTGTTCTAGATTCATTCTGGGAACATCGGTCTCTTGTTATTGCCACAATTTCCCAACAATAAAAGGGAGCCACGGGAGAATGTATAATTTCTTCAAACATGCTTTGAGCTGTAATGCTTTCCATGTCCTCTTACCCTGCTTATCTGTTAGCACCTAGTATATATATCTTCATGGGCACACATGCACACACATGCAGCTCTACTTGATTACCTTGTGAGGCTATTTTAGGGTTAATTTATATAGTTTCAAAAAAATAATCAAGTTCATTGAACACTTGCTAGCTGCCTTACATTGGTATGAGTCAGGCTTAGGTGACCTTTTACTTTAAGATGCTCACGGTCTAGTGAACAGTCAGGAAAATAATGAGGTAAGCACATAATAGTTATAGCATTAAAGTACTATAGATCAAGAAGGGAATAAAGATGTTTCAAAAAGAGGTTGCATTTCTACTGTATCAAGAAGAAATGGTAGTTGGCCAGGTAAAAAGAAGTGAAAGAATGTGCAGATAAAATTGAGCATCAATCGTGTATGCAACTAGGCACTTAGAGAGTGAAAGGTGGTGACGGGAAAGAGTGGTGGGAAATAAAGCAGGGCTGTGAATTAAGCACAGGCAGTGACAGGCCATGCAAAACTTGCTGGACAGTTTGAACTTGATTCTCTAGGCCAGTGGTTCCTATTGCTTGAGTCTACAGTTCCTCCAAAGTGTACTAGAGGTCCAAGAAGATGGAGACCAAGAAAGATTAAAGCTAAGGTAAGTTTGCTTCTTTCTTTTTTATGAAGTTATTTTTGTATACCTTTATTGGGGAGAAAGTGAATTTAAAAAAAAAAGTTTAAACCCTCTGGCAATGGGGAGTTTAGGTTTTTAAACCTTAGAGGGCTGAGCTGAACTCTATAAAAAAAACAGCAGCTCAGAGGGCTGGGGATTTAAGGATGAGAGAATCACTTAGGAGGCTCCCACCAGAGTTCTGGTGACTGAAGTGGTAGCAAAGGTGCAAGGCAGAAGTGACTATGAACAGCGGATGAATTCAAGCAAAACTGCTTGGTGATTGTGTACATAACAGGAGGAAGAGCCGGTAAGCCAGGGTGAAAGAAGCACAAGTGTCTGTTTTTGGACCTGATGGCTCCAACTTGACAGTCTACATTTATAGCTAAACCCCGTTAACTCTGGTCTCTCTTCTACTTAACAGTTTCCCTAGAAGTTAGGGAAAGAGAGATGCATCTCTAATCCATTTGAAATCAACTGGTAAACTAGTGGTTCCCCACTCTTGCTCCCCAAGGTTGGGGAAGGCACCTTTAAACCTCAGGTCACAGTGATGCTTTCTAATAATTGACAGCTCATTAAGAAGGGATTGGAGGAAGAAAACCACCTTGACAGAGGAAAGCATCAGGGAATTACCATACGTGTCTTTTGCTGATTTATTTCTATTACAAACTCATTCTCTGAATAATTTTATATAAACTTTATTTACAGTCTGTTGAATGATAAGGAGTTCTTTTTAAAAAGCTTTTCTTTCCAAGATTTCCTATATTTGCCTTGTTCTGGGGATTAATCAAATAACCAATATTTTACTGACATTTGTGAGTTCTTGAAAAATATTTGCTTCATTAACAGAAGCCCAACAGGGAACACTTTATTTTGTCTTCTCAAGTTCCTTTTTTCTTCTTTTTGGATTATAAACCAATTGTTTGATAGGATAATTCAAGTGTAATGAAAAATAGTTGTTTATAAAATATATAATTATATAATTGCTAGCAAAAATGAAATTCTGAGATTGCCAGATCTTCCTGTTCACTTTTATCTGGGACCTAGAAAATACCTGAGAGGGTGACAGAAAAGCATACATAACTACTCGCCTGACTTTGTACCTCCCAAGGCTTGGTTATAGCTGACAAGTCACATGCAGTCATCATCATTGCCCTTTGGAAGAAAACAAAAACAGAAAACAGAAAAATCAGAATGAATAATTTTTTACCTAAAAAGTAATAATATTCAGCTTCTCACATGATAATCTCTTTTTTGGTTGGATCATTCGTTACATATTTGATGGCCTCTTGTTCAGTTTC